AATCATTGATTATTACTCTGTTGCACTGAGGATTGAAGGGGGCTGCAACAATCAGGGGATCATAAGCTTCCACTGGAACGTTACATGGATCCTTGTTCACATAGGCCTGCTCAAAGGCACCCGATAGCTTTTGACAGTCATATCTGAAAAATAAATAAGTTTGCTAATGTTTGGTGTAATTTGATTTAAAGAAATTCTAAATATGCTAAACAGTCCAACACATTTACATAACTCTTATATATTTGATTAAAAAAAAAAAAAAAACTGGTGTCAACAAAACCAGATGATTAAAGATATTATTGAAAGAAGTTTATGGCAGGATAATTGCCATGTGGTTAAATTGTTTCTTTTTAAAGCAAAATTCAAATATGACTAAAGGAAACAGGAAAAAAACAACTGACAGAAATAATGCAGTTCATATCTCCATTTCCTCAATGCACATTATCATTATGTCTACATGCTGTATGTGCAGTGTTACACATTAGTAACAATGTGCAATGTCCAGCTAACTGGATAAAAACAGCAGCTCAATCATTGGTTATAATACCGACCAATAACTCAGACCTAACGCCCGTTTTTACGCAGAGCAGCCTTGCTACTTCACGAGTTCAAATGCAATCACTCCTGCATTTGCCAAGATGGATCAAATATGGAAACATGCAAGTGCACTGTAAGCACACCAATATTCGACCAGATTCGATGTTTGCATGAACATGCTTTTCAGCATACTTTATTCAACAGTCGGTTGCTGCTACAAATACACTCCGTCAGCTGCAGCTTTCTAGCTCAAAGCCCGACTCACATCACTAACAACTCTCAGGACCCAGTGCAGATTTTAAAGCCGGCGAGGCATGATTGTAAAGGCCTGCAGGTGCGTCCATTGCTCCTGCAGCGGCACCACAGACCACGCCTACCATATACCCCTATCGTCCAACTGAGGCTGAGGAGCCATCCGGCCGAACCTACTCTACCCCCCCTCTCCGACCCACATCCGAAATGTGCCCATCTGTGACAAAAGTCACACTGCACCATTTTTACTCAGCTTTATCTCTTCCTTGATTTATGGTGTTTCTGTGCTCTCTGAATTAATGCCAAAGTCTAAAGCTACTTTATTTAACCTGTTAAGCCTCAAAGCGCTTTCTGAGCTTCTTGCCCAAAATGAATCGACTATTTCTCTGCAATTACAAACTCTGTGTAAACAACCTTGGTATCAAAAGAAAGCTAACACTTGTGAGATTTCATCAGAGGTGGGAGCATATGCGATTAACTCCAGCACTAATTAGGCTACATGTTGCTTGTGCTGGGTTTTACACTGTTTGCATTCAGAATTGCCCTCATTCTTCATGACATACTTTCAACAAGATGCTGGAAACATTCCTCTGAGATCGTGATGACAGCATCTCACAGATGCTGCAACTTCCATGATTTGAATTTTCTGTTTTACCACATGCCTCAGGTGCCCTTTTAGACTGAGCTCTGGTGACTGTGGAGACCATTTGAGTGCAGTGAACTCACTGTCATGTTCAAGGAGCCAGTTTAAGATTATTTGAGCCGCCCATCCCTTTACATATGAAGTTTAGGCAATGCTCAGTACTAAGTTGCACAGCGTTAGTACAAAGTTGTCAAAAAATATCCCTCACATCATTACAGCAACACCACCAGCAGCCTGAACTGTTGACACAAGACAGGATGGATTCCCGAGAACTGCTGCTATCTTGATATTTTCTGGTTTTCCGATCACTCTGTGTAATCTCTAGAGGTGTTTGTGTGTTAAAATCCCAGTGGATCAGGAGTTCCTGAAATACTCAGACTACCACTACTACTAA